TTTTTGTCTTACCTTCACCCGATTCGTATTCGTGGCACCCGATCCATTCTTGTGACAGCAAATCGTTACTTTAATAAAGACTTTAATATGATGAGATGATCTTCAAAATCAACCAATCATAATAAAGCCCGCTATGCTTTCTCCATAGGTTTGATAAGAATTTTGGTAACATTTTAAATGTAAGAAATGTAATCGTTGGGCATTCAAAAACAAGTTCTCACTTGAAGTAATATACTCCGGAAAAAGGTATTGACAAGCTGTAAATATAAAAAAAGTTATCTATAGATAACAAGACATATAAGTAAAGAGCCATACAACAATAATTCTAAATATAACTCATAAAACTCACTAAAAACTTGTACTCCATAAACTTTTATTTTTTGAAATCATTGAAAATTTCCATGGTGCTTTATTCTAATAAAATTTTGCGATTTTGTTACGATCACCAATATAGTGATTGTGATCAGCATCTTTCGGAGACCCAGAAACTTCCACAACTGAAAGCTCAAGGTCTACTTCCAATAACTTTATAATAGCATCGATTTTACTTCCAGGATTACGTCTGTCACTGTCTTGTTGCGAATTGTTGAATAATATTGCTGAATACCACAATGATTTTCACCCCTATTACAATACGATAAAATAAGCGATGATTATCAAGCAATAGATATTAATTTAATTATGCTGAAACTTACCAAATCAAACCTATATGTTGAAAATTTTGAATAAAAGGTTTAAAAACCTGATATATAAAGTTATTATGTAATGATATTCAGTTTGATCATCATTGAAAGCATTCTTGCAATTTTGAAACTGATCGCGACTATGAAAGTAATAGAATTAAATTTGTCACTCGACCACCTGGTTCACTGACAAAAAAACCTACTACGAAATACACTAAATGGGATTTTGCCCGCTGCTCACGTTGGTCCACAGCCGGTTCATAGCATCGTCCTATAACTATTTCCCCTTCTTCGATATCCGAGCTGTATAGTCGGGCTATCGAAACACCAACTTCGATATCCGAGCTGTAATAGTCGGGCTATCGAACACAACCTTCGATATCCGAGCTGAGCACCCGGGCTATCGATTAAACCTATAACCCCAAATACCTCAACACTAAATACTCCCACCCAGCGGTGGGTGGGAGGGCGCTATCGACGAAGCTAGACACCTGTCGAGCTAGCAGCAAAGACAAAAGAGGGAGAACCAAAACCCATCCCTTCTTCCTTATATAGCCCTTCTATGACCTCATACTTACTACCACTCAAAAAATCAAACGACATACATCACCAATACATCATACTTACCATCGCTCAATACATCATGCTCAATACCTCATACTTACAAATGATATACAAACCGTCACTCTGATGTCATGGGACCGGGTTGTGGTCTCGTGACAAATGGATGGCCCGTGACTTCGTTCACGGCATCTCATATTAGCACGTGTTGATGATATTAAGGGAATCACAAAAACCATGTACAAAGCTTTTGTAATTGTCAAGATTCTTCGTTTCCATCGGTCATTACTGCCAGTTCTCAAATTAAACCGTTCAGACTTTAATGCCTTACATAATTTATCATAGGATATATATTTAATATTTTAAATAACATCTACTTACCACATTCGCCACAACAGTTTTGGCGTAAGTTTTACTACTTCGACTTGCACATCCTTCACATTACCCGACATTGCCGTCTCTGCAGTAGGTGACAACATGGCTTCTATTTCATCAATCATCTTGCCCCAAATATCTTTGAAAAGATTTCGCGAGTTTGATGATGATGATTCGATAGTATCAATTATATTATAACGAAGCAAACTGTAAAATGAAGTTAGTTATCGATAAGTAAAAAAATAATAATGCAAATATTTATCAAAAGGCATATTCTTGCTTGTGTATTTCTGGAATATACTTGGATTTTTTACGCCACTCCATTATTTGTGATCGTACGCATATATTTTCGATATAAAGACTATTATCGCTATATATAGCCTCCTGATCAAAGTCATTTATATTATCTTCTTCGTTTCCATAAGGCTAATATCAATAAAAAATAATTAATTAGGTTGATATATTAAATTTTGCCATAATTAAAGTTACTTATAGAACAAGTACTTCTGACTTTTTCTGCATTACTGTCGGCACAGCAGATGCTAGTACATCAGATAAGTCATTCGAAGTTGAGAAACTACAACATGCACAGGAAAATAATCAACAATCCTTGTTCGTTTTTTAGGATAGTTTTGCTTGATCTGTTCATCCTAAAGTATTAATACAAAATAATTAGTTCTACAGTACCGAACAGTAAAAGACATCCAATCTATTCATAGAGACGCCAATTTTTGATGCTTATATAATCAATTCTGATTGGCTAATTTTTGTGTAATTGATTCTAATTGGTTAAAAATATCTATATGTTTTCTTTTTTTCTATATTAAACGCCAATTTTTTGAACTCATATAAACTTTAATTCTTTATAACTTTTTCAAAACAAAGAATAAAAAAAAATCCTCTGACAGAAATGTAGTATATCTAAAAATCTATCAATTTGTCAGAGGGTTTTTTGATTTAGCTTGTTTTCAAAAAGTTATAACACTTTAAAGTTTTTACTAATATACATTGGATGTGTCTTACTGTCCGGTACTGTACTAATTTTCAACATCTTGCTAAAAAAATTATGTATATGTACCTTTTCATGATCATCATCCTTTTTCCTTTTTGACGCACTTTCATTGGATAAATTAAAAGCCTCACTATTAACGTTTCCAGAATTTTCCACCAAAGGATTTCCCGTAAACGTTGGATTATGAAGGTGAATTGAAGGTCCAGTTGATCCACACTCATTTTTCCATTTTCTCGCCAAATGGTAATCGGGTCGAGCACCCTAAAAAAAAGACTCGAAGAATTAACAATATCTGATTCCATCCATCCCACAGGTTCAGCTTTTAGCCTTGAACTCAGCCAACCTTTTAGATTGTCTGCGCCCTGTGGGGCCAATGTTAGGTCAGCTTCTAGCCTTGAACTCCAGACAACCTTCTAGATCACCTGGGCCCTAACATTAGCTTCGTGGTTCACCTTCTAGGCTTGAATGACAGAAACCTTCTAGATCCCTGCCACACCACCAAATCCTTAAAGGTTCTAAACTCACCTTTCTATATTTTTCGAGCAGGATATGTGCATTTTGTTGTCTTTCACCGTTTTCCTTATTGGCGACTTTTTCCAAGGATCTAATGTATAGCCCTATTTTCTGATCGAACTGTTCCGCTTCACATTCATTTAAGAAGTCTAAGATGTTCCATTTGGGAGACGCACGATCGAAATATTCATGAATCTGTTGAACATGAATGGATAGAAAAACTGAATTATCATTATGTTAGACCCCCGCGAGAAATCGATAAGTTGCATTTAATTCTCGTGCCTCTTCACTTTCTTCATTAGACATAGACATGACGCGTTTTTAAGATCATCATTATTAGATGAGACGAGAATTTATACTTTAGCAATGTAGTACGAAGTGCACGATGTCATGTGAATTTGGAAATTTTCTATTTGCAGTATCGGTATTGATTATACATAGAAACCTAGAAACCGCATAAAATGTAACTACCCCAAGAGCACCACCAAAAATTTTTCGGTAACAAATTCTTAAAAGTTTGTTAATATTAGAGTTAGCGTTTGTATTTGAGTTTGATGTTAACAAAATATATAGTAAAATTGCTCAAGGAAAACTTTTTATTAGAGCACTAAAGATGGTTTCTTATGCGGATTTTTGAGTTATGGGCGAGTTTTAGCAAAAAAAAACGTTTGTTTTTAATTTTCCTGATCGTGTGACATTAGTGTTACGTTACACCTGATCTTCACCCGTGATTGGCTTTTGGTCACGTTTTGAAAAATTTTTGGTGGTGCTCTTGGGCAAAAGTATCGATTTTGATAGATCTACAACACATCCTAAATCTATGTTACGTTATTGATGCATTTTAGTATATAT